CAGCACTGACAACTCTGTCTGGGGCACAGTTGATGGCCTCTCTGGAATGGGAGCCGTCTTATTTTCCTTATTATTTAAGCAAGCAAACGTTTACAGAAGCCAGAATAGCAGGGTTAAAATTTTAAACAGCAGTTTTTACCCAAGATGGAGGTTACTATGCTTCAGGCTGAGGCAGGAGAAAATGATTTTATTATTGTTTTGACAACCGAGAAACTTAAACTTTTGAACTTTCCGGTCCAGCATCGATGCCTGGATCACCCTGTGGTTACCTCCTGAAGGACTCACATACCCAGACCACCTGGCATCCGTCATCCAGACCAACTGATGTGGCTGATAGCCGTCCTCGACCTGTCCTACTGCTAAGAATGCAGGACTGGCTATTCTCACGAATGCAATTTCTATTATAAAAACTCTTAATGTTTTCATCTTTTTTGGAACACTTCTGGATTTTTGCCTTCCTGTGTTCCCATTTGCAAATTCTAAGAGTCTTGAATAGATCTTTATTATTTATTTCTAACGAAGCCCCCAGACTATTTTTTATTTTGTTTGACAAGTTCTGCTAGCGCACACACACACACACACACACACACACACACACACCACTGGCCTGGCCTCTCAGGTGCTTTGCTGTCTCCTAGAATTTTTCCCCAGCCCAGCGGTATTTGCACAACTGAAAACACCCTTTTCCCTTAGTTTAGAGAAGAATGAGCTGGAATTTCTCAAAACAAACAATTATTAAGAAAACGGGGGCGGGGGAGAACCCCATAAAGAACAAAGGGAAAGTGGAGCTTTCAGAGAGACCCGTGGTCTTCAGCCCAGACGTCCTTAAAGCAGGGACCTGAGGACACTCATGGACAATGGGACTTTCCAAGTTCTCGAGGGACTGACCCTGCAGACACCGAGGAAGGGTGCCAGGACACCTGCCTGCCCCAGTGCCACTGTCACGGGACTGCCCACCGCAGCCTCCACAGTCTCAAGACTCTGAGCTATGAAACGTTATTTTTCTCTCCCAGTCAGTCAGCAGGGGTGACCTGGCTTTGCCTCCTCTAGGGACCTGGGCTCTATGGGGTCACCTCCCTACAGGCTAAGAAGAGAGGCAAGAAGTGCATAGCTGGGTTGAGGCTGGAGAGGCAGCCTGGAGCTGCCCCCTTAAGTAGGACAGAGGGTAGCTGAGAGCCTCATGGCTGCCCTCTGGTGGCCATCGTGGGCAGTCAAGAACCTACACACCAGCCTGCACTGTGGTCAGTTCCATTCATTGTAAGAGATCTTTCGCTATTCAGTCCTCGCCTGGTATGCAGCTCTACAGTTTAGATACAGACAATGAAAATAGAGCACAGCTCTTTCCCTGAACCGGGCAGATTTCACATGTTGGGACTTCTTTCCTTTGTAGATTTTTTAATTTAGATCCGGTTAGGAAATAGGGCCTTCTACATTTTTATTTCAATGAGCATCCGCTAAACAGCTCTGAGTCCTTCATCTTTGTATTGACTGTGATAACAGAAACTATAGCCAGGATTGACATGATGGGAAGAGCCAGGCTTTTTCTTCCAACACTGGGAAATGTTGTGCCCTGCACACCTTTCCTGTCTCCCTCCGCCCTGCTGGAAGAGGCTGCCCTTGGCAGGCCCGGAGTGGTCAGCTGTCCCCTGCTTCGGCACCCATTGCTCACTGTGACTCTGATCAGGGGGATCCCCTCTCAAGCTCTTTGAAAGAACAGCCTGTGTTGTACTTGTTTCCAGAATTCTTTCCCACGGGGGTTACAGATGCATAGTTACTTTTATTGTCAGTGTCATGACCGCTGTCATCACCGGTGTGAGCTCCTACCCTCCCAGGGATTACACATGCCAGATGCTCTATAAATGTTTAAAGCGTGCGTGTGCACAAGATGGGAAGCCAGCAACGTGTTTGGTGAATGAGTGAAGGGACAGATGAGTTTCCAGCTCTCCCCTCTCAATGAGGCACAATCCTGGCTTTGTTTCTGTCTTCTGCAGCCTCCCTTCAACTCTCTGGGAATGTGTGTCTTCGCCTGAAAAGCAGACCCGACCCAAGCCTCAGACCCCTCCCACCCCGGCTCCTCCAGGCCATTCCACTGAATTCTCTCTTCGCCCCTCAGTTTCTCCCCCTGCAGTTGTGTGCATCAGGTCACTGGCCCATCAAAGGTCCCACTCCCTCTACCTACACCCAACAGGGCCAGGGCGAGGAGGAGGCAGGAGAGGCACCTGGGGCACAGAATTTAAGGAGGCATCACCCTCAGGGCGGTGTATGTGTGAGAGTGCCATCTTCTTGCGGGGGGAGGTGGGTCCTTTCACGGGATCGCAGGGGCCCACCCACGGGAGATTGTGGTGTGGTGGGATTTATTTTGGGTGGAGATAGAAGGCTGCCCCCAAGTTTCCAGGGTCTCATCTCCATCCATCCCCCTGTGGAAGAAGGCCAGTGTTGTCTTCGTCAAGCCTGATACAAAGGCCAAGGTAAGAAAGTTCTGTGCTTGTCAAAGCATAGTTCGTATCTGTCCCCATCCCGCCAGCACAGTCCGGGCTCAGCTGGCCCTGTGGCCATGTTGGGTCTGCTCAGCTGCCGGCACAGGTGACTGCTAGACCTACATGATCACCACAAAATTCGTGAACAAACAGGACTAGTGAGAGAGAGAGAGAGAGAGAGAGAGAGAGAGCACCCTTTGTCAGGCTGAATATATTACCTCAAGTTTGGGAAAAACCAGGCACTTCTTCAAACTAACCATTCAACTTCCCAGGCTTTCCCAGGCTTCTGATGTGTCCACTCCCTAACCAATCTATTTCCTCGATCTTCCAGGATTTGGGTCCCTTATCCAATCCCATCTTTCCCCAGGCTAGATAGACCGGCCTCTACGGTTGCCATCTGAGCTTTTGCTGCACATGCGCCCAGCAGAGTAATTCTGTTGTTTTTATTCCTCTGGAGGGTGGAGGATGCCTGGGGGGAGGTGGGGGGAGCTGTAATTCTTAGTGAAGCACTCCAAATATTGGATTCTGCTTCCCAGTTTATTATGCTTAATAATGTCTGGTTCCCTTTGCTCTCTGCCTCTATTAATATCTAGTTACCTACACTGACAATCCCAGGGTATTTGAGGTGCATCCAATCCACACATCCAGGCCCTGCCTCAAACCCAGCCTTCCTGCCTCCTCCCAGCACGGCTGCCGGCACTGGCTGGCAGGGGGGTGGGAGGGCTTGGGCTCCCCGCCCCGGGCAGCAGCTTTGGGGCTGGCCAGGCCCTGGTGGCTTGCTGTCGGCCAGCAGCTCGTGCCAGCAGCTTCTCCATTCTATGGAAACGGGAAACCACACAGCTGAAGGCAGACAGGAAGACGGGGTGTAGGTGGGGTTCCTCCTGCGCTCTCAGCCCCCATCCTGAGCACAGCCTTGAAGTTCCGCCAGCGCTCCCCCACGCTGCCCTCCTCCTCACCCCTGCTCCTAAAAGCCTGCTGCGTGCTCCTCCCTTCTATCTGGGCTCTGCCTCTGCCTCCTTCCCTGCCCCACTCTCTCCTCTCCTCTAACAGCCCCCCCCCCTTTTGTCCCTTCCTCACCTCTCCCCCTGGGAGGAAACACAGCCATCAGGCCAGTCCAGGGAGCTAGACGGGGCATCCATGGGCATGGCGCACCTTGCACACCCACCCCAGTGCCCCGGCCCCGAGTCTCTGCCCCCAGCAGCTCTCCAGGTTCATGTGAGCTCAGGCAGCTGCTTGGCCATAGTCACCACCTGCTCCCCGCCCCCAGCCTCCGGCCCTCAGCAGAGATGGGCTGATGGCGCTACTGTGCCTGTCCCGGCTTCCAGAAGGGCCGAGAAGGCTGGGGGCAGCCCACTGGCAGCTGCTCTCTAAGGAATGCAGGAGGCCTTGAACTCACCAGCCAATCGACTCCAGTGCGCTCCCTGGAGCGGGGTAAATGCTGTGGTCTGACCAGTGAATGGCAGTGGGGGAACCTGCCACCGCAGGCTTAACCCTTCCTGCGCCTTCCTGGTCCATTTTCTCTGAAGGTGGGATGTTTTCCTGTTCCCCCCTCCCCCCTCCCTCCTCCCCGTCAGTTTCACCCTGAGGTTTTCCCCCGGGGGGGGGGGGGGGTATTTCCTAGTTCTCCCTGACCCCCTCCTGTGCTGGTGGTGATGACTGGGTTAGCCTGTCTTCTCATCACGACTGCAGACGCCTGGAGGGCAGGCACTGTGCCTTTCACCTGTGTATCTCTAGCCCCTGGCTCAGAGAAGATGCTCAGCCAATCCCTGCTGCGTGAGTGATGGACTTGGCAATGGCTCATCATGGCTGCCTTCCTTTGGCCTCTGCCCAGAGCCAGGCAGCTCTGTCAGGACCCCTGCTCTGCCCTCTCTCTGGAGAGCTCCTTCCTGCTTCGGTCAGCACCATCACAACCGCTGCCCCCAGGGTTTCCCTGCTGCCTCTCTCTCCCCAAGCAGCCCTGATGCCGGCCTCCCTCAGCCAGTTAACGCCCCCTGAGGGGCCCCAGCCCCTCCCTCCACGAGGAGCTGCTCAGAGCCTCCCCGTGGCCACCAGCTCCAGAACCACTCGGAGTGGAGAGCCCCTCCCTGCCCTGCTACCCGGACTCCCTCAGAAGCCTCATATGCCACAGGGGGAAAACCGCTGGTCTCCAGAACCAAAGTCTGATACTAACCCCAGTATTCCAGGCCCCTGGAATCTGGCCCCAACCCTCTCCTCATTCTTACCCACTTCAGCCCTAAGGGATTCCTCCCCGGGTCCGTCGCTTTCCCTGTTGCCCTCTTAGGCCCCCCCAGAGAGTGGGAGGACAGGATGTGGGCTTGTGTGGGGGCCTGTGGCCTGCGACTGCATATCCAGCCAAAGGCGCGGGAAAGGGACTGACTTACAAGAATCGGCTCCTGGAAGAGCCCAGCCAGGCCTGCAGCCAACTTCCACTTTCCTCGGGATGTTCTCAGTTCCGGGGCCTCTTGTTTTGAGTGGAGATTCCTCCTTCTGCATATGGGACTTTCCAGAAGGGTCACAGCTCCTTCGATGCAGCCACGCGGCCTGTCCCCATTCAAGCCTTCCCCGCAGGCAGAGGATGTCCTGGATGCTGGTGGTCTGGGGAGCGCTCCTGGCTCTCCGGAGAAGGGTGGCTGTGTGGTCCCTGTGGATGCCCCTTCTCTGGGCAGGTAAGTGGGGCAGGTGAGTGGCCTGTCCTCAAAGAGCTGCCCCCTCCGGCCGGCCGCCCCTCGCCAGATGTCTGCACAGGGTCCCCCAATCCCAAGTAAGAAACCAGGCACTGGGAGGGGGTCGGCAATACTGATGCAAGCTTTGGGGCAACTTTTTTTTTTTTAATATATTTTTATTGATTTCAGAGAGGAAGAGAGAAACATCCATGATGAGAGAGAATCATGGACTGGCTGCCTTCTGAACGACCCCTACTAGGGGTTGAGCCTGCAACCCAGGCATGTGCCCTTGACCGGGAATCGAACCCAGGACCCTTCAGTCCCCAGGCCGACGCTCTATCCACTGAGCTACACCAGCCAGGGGTTTGGGGCAACTTTTAAAACTAGGCCAGGCAAAGAGATGCAGGGTCCTGGGCGGAAGGAGGCAGCAGCCCTGGGAGAAGTCGGTTTAGTTTGGAGAGGCTGTTAAGACTGAGGCTGGTGGCACCAGTGGTTTGGAAAGAGCTGGCTGTGAGAATGGTGTGGGTCTGGCAGTGCTAACACGTGAGGATTCTAAATACTGTGTGTCTGAGGAGCACAGGGAGGGCAGGGCAGAGCAGGGATCTTTCAATCTGAGGATGTATTTCCAACAGCCTGTGGGAAGCCAGGGCCCGTCAGGAGGTCTGCGTAAGGGGTACTGAGTAGGGATGAGAGGCGAGAGCAAGTTAATGCAGCACATGTGGGCCTGGGGGGCGGATGATCCGGTGATGGCATGCCTGCCTGTTGGTCTCTTCAGCCCCAGGCAATCCCTGCAGTCTGCCTGGTGCCCGACTTCCCTCCCTTGGGTGAGAAGTGCTCAGTATGACGCGGCTCAGCACCGCAAGGCCAGGGCATGGGAGTCCGGGGGTGTAGCCAAGACAGACACCTTTGTCCACCTCAGACTCACAGTGACTTGGAGATGACTCTGTCCAGTGTCCCTCCAGAGTCTCCAAGCTTGAGGGCTCCAATCTCTGCAGATTTCAACATTTCTAGACATGTGAAGGAAATGCCTCACAAAAAAGAAATCTGTTTGGTTCAAAAATCTTTCAAATCCTTGGCCTTGGGAGGCAAAAATAATTTCGCCAAAAGCCTCTTGGTGGTAAACGAAGTGAGTGCAACTGATGGGTGCACCCCTTGCTTTATGGAGGGGACGGTGTGAGCCCAGAAAGGAGCGTAATTGCTGAAGGTCACACGGCTCATTCTGGGCAGAGCGGGGCTGGCTAGGACCCAGGAGTCCTGACGGCCATCCAGTGTTATTTCTCCTCTACGTCCTGTCTCCGCTCTGCATTCCCCTGAAGTCATCGCCAATCAAACTGGAGATGGTTGGCACCAGGGAGTGCAGGGAGGCGTATGAGGGGCTAGGCCAGGGGTGGGCAAACTTTTTGACTCGAGGGCCACAATGGGTTCTTAAACTGGACCGGAGGGCCGGAACAAAAGCATGAATGGAGTGTTTGTGTGAACTAATACATGTTAACGCTGCTGCTGGTGAAGGAGCGGAGGGGAGAGCAAGAGAACCCTCTGCTCTTTTGGCTCCACGGGCCGGATAGAACAGCCGAACGGGCCGGGCCGCGGGCCGTAGTTTGCCCACGGCTGGCTAGAGTTACCAGTGGCTGGCTGAGTGACCATTCAGAGCACGTCTCCTTAACCGAACTCCCAGCGCCTGGGTCAGTCCCGCATCTCCTCTCGTTCTGCCCTGCACCCCTGCAGCCACCACTGTGCCAGGCACTAGGTAAATCAGCAAATCCTGCCATTCGTTCTGTAAAACTTGCTGAGTTTCTACATCCTCCTCCTGAACAGAGTGGGAACTGGGAGTGCAAAGATGGAGAGAGGAACTCACAGGCCAGCGGGAGACACTGACTCATAACCACGCGATAACAACAGAAACAAGGCCAATTCATGGCAAGGATCCCAGGCTGCTGAGGGAACATGGAGGATGAGTGTGTAGCCTGCAGGGATGGACGGGGGAGATTAGGGAACCCTGACGCTTCAAGGATGAGCAGACATTAGCCTGTGAAGGGGGCAGGGCGCACTTGAAGCAGAGGCATCACCCACAGGCCTCAAACTCCACACGTTCCCAGCAACACTCAGCCCCCTGCCGCCTCTCCCCCTTCTGCTTCTCCCCCTGTCCTGGGTCACAGAGAACTGGCACCTTGTGGGTTCCAAGGACCTGGGAGCCATCCTTGACTCCTTGCTCCTTCGCTTCTCAGACCCAATCTACTACCAGGTCCACTGATGACACTTTTTTTAAAAAATATATTTTTTAATTGATTTTTTACAGAGAGGAAGGGAGAGAGATAGTTAGAAACATCGATGAGCCGCCTCCTGCACATCTCCTACTGGGGATGTGCCCGCAACCCAGGTACATGCCCTTGACCGGAATCAAACCTGGGACCTTTCAGTCCACAGGCCGACGCTCCATCCACTGAGCCAAACCGGTTTTGGCTGATTACACTTCTTATCTCTCTCAGTTCCTGTCACCTCTACTCCCCTCTGTTGCTCCCCCTCAATACAAACTTCCATCACTCACCTTTGGATTAAACAGGGGTGGGGAACCTTTTTCGGTTGAGGGCCATTTGGATCTTTATAGCATCATCCGAGGGCCATACGAAATAATCAACGTAAACATTAGCCGGCCATATTGGGCCAGACATTTAGTGAACTCACCCCTCAGGCCTTGGCAGGGCCAGACCCAACGATTTTGCGGTCCTTATACGGCCCGAGGACCGGAAGGTCCCCACCCCTGGGTTAACACAAGCAGCCTCGAGTTTGTCCCACCTACAGGCCTCCTCTGCCCGCTCCAGGAGTGATCTCTCTCACAGGCCTCTAATCCTGTCCCTCTCTTACCTAAAACCTCTTCTAGGGCCCTCTTTGCTTGGAGGACAAAGCCCAGGTGCCAGTGTCACTCTCAGGGCCCTGCACAATCTGGTTCTCTCTGTAAATTCCCTGCGTTTCTACGTCGCAACTCTGCAGCACCATTCTGACTCCCCCGGCAGAGACCTACTTTCAGTTCCCTGTGCACATGCTCTCTCGCCCAGGCCTTCGGACACGCTGTCCCCTCGGCCTGTAACGCTTCCCATCCCCGTGCCAGCCAGCCCTCTGCTTGGCCTGGCAAATTCCGCTTCTCCTTTGGCCTCAGTTTACCTGAACTCTCCAGACCAGGTGAGGTTACACCCTCACGCTACCCGTGTTCTTCCAGAGTCCCCCCCTTTTCCCATGATGGCACTTGGCTTGCTATATTTTAATTGCTATATTTTACTATATGTTAATTGCTTGGCTTCCTCTCTGAGCTCCATGAGCACAGGTATGAATTCTTTTAAATTTTGTTCCCAATCCCTGGGACAGTGCATTCTCAACGTGGGTGAAGGGAGTGGGGGGAGAGGAACCCCAATTTGCTCCGTGCTGCTTGCAGGAGAGATTGGGGAGCCTCGGGCAGGCAGAGTGACATGGCTCTGTTCTTGCAGCACCGCTTCCTGTCGCGGCTACTGGTGCCCACGTGCAGGGCCAGGTGGGGGGCTCGGTGCTGCTGGCGGCAGAGTGCCACCCTGGCTTCCAAGTCCGAGAGGCCATCTGGCTGTCTCTCTGGCCTTCGGAGGAGCTCCTGGCCACGTCTTTCCGGGGCTCCCTGGAGACCCTGTACCACTCCCGCTTCCTGGGCCGCACCCGGCTGCACCACAACCTGAGCCTGGAGCTCGGGCCGCTGGAGCCTGGGGACAGCGGCAACTTCTCCGTGTTGCTCGTGGACACTGAAGGCCGGGCCTGGACCCAGACCCTGCAGCTCAAGGTGTATGGTGAGTGTGCCTGGCACTGGCTCTCTGCCCACCTTCCCTCACACAGTCCTGGAAGGGCACCTTGAGTCCTGGGAGCTGGAGAACTGGGTTCCAGAAACCTTGGGCCTCTGACTTCGTGGCTGATTCAGAGAGTCTCCTGCAGCCGCATCTGAGAACGCTCCTCAGGTTCCCCCAGGGGAGCTTGATCGGGAGCAGCCCAGCTCTACAGTCCTAGTCTGAGCCCCAGGGTGGCATTTTCCGGACTCAGTGGTCTTGGACACAAGGCTGAGCTCCGACATTCGCCATCTCATTAGTAAAGTGGGCATCGGTGATGCTACCACATAGATGCTCATGGCAGTGAAGTGCAGTGGGGCTGGGAAAGCATCTGGAACAGAAGTTGACCTGTGCCTCACCAGTCCAAAGGTATCAGATTAAGACATGCCATTATTTTCTGTGCCACTAAAAGGGAAAATATTGCCAATTAAACTATGGCACTATGTTTTTATTAAAATTTATAATTCAACTATAGTTAAAAGTACAGAATTTTTATTTTATATTTTAAGAGTTATTTCAAATATATTTAGAGATCTTAACTATATATAATATTCATGGGTTCTTTCAGTCATTCGTAGTTGCAAAACGTACCATCTCCAACCTTATTGGCTAAAGACAGCTATTTTATTTCTCACAATTCTGTAGGTTAGCCTGGCTCAGCAGGCAGACCTCTGCTCCGCGTGGGTTTGCAGGGTCATTCATGCAGCCTCGTTCAGCACCTCAGCTCAGGTGTCTGAATTCACTGGGGACAGAAAGGGGCTTTCTTTCCAGCAACTTCACCTTCACCTCCATCACAACCACCTCTACCATAACCTCTACCACTATCACTACCTCCACATCTTCTTCCTCCATCCTCACATCCACCATCACCACCTTCCTCCTTCATCACCTACCACTATCACCGCCTCTACCTCCACCATCACTTCTACCACTAACACTACCTTCACATGTACCTCCACCAGCACCACCTCCACCTTCACTGCCTTCCTCCTTTATCACTCTATCACCACCTCCATCTCCACCCCCACTACCATCTCCACCTCCACCATCACTTCTACCACTATCACTACCTCCACATGTACCTCCACCATCACTATCTCTACCTTCCTCCTTCATCACCCTACCATTACCACCACCTTCACCTCCACCATCATTTCTATCACTATAACTATCCAACTTCACCACTCCACTATCATCTCCACCTCTATCTCCATTACCCCCATCACCTTCACAGCCACCACCACTACCACCTCTACCTCCACCATTACTTCTACCACTATTACTATTTCTACCTCTACCTCCACCCCTCCACCATCACCTCCACCTCTACCACCTTTTCTTCTGGTCAAGAAAAAACAATGGCCTTCCAGCTCTCATTTAGATACCTAGTGGCTTGAAAATGATATGTGAATGACCCCAAAGCACAATTTTAGTAAAACCTTGGAAATTTGGTAGCGTAGAGGGGAGGACAAGGTTCAAATTCAGGAATGGAGAGTAGGGGTGACAGCTAGGAAGAGGGAAACAGTGAGGGAGAGAAAGGCAGTAGCAAATTGGGAGGAGAGAAACACCCCGCCCCCTCCCTGAGACAGCTAACTGGCTGCCACTCAGGGTGCTGATAAGCACTTAGACGGGTGTCCCTCTGGATGCATGCGGCCTTGAACCAGGAGTCCAGTTTGGCAAACAGCGTGCTGGCTGGGTTTCAGCACCCCCACCTTCCCCTGTTGCCCCCTGGCCAAGGCCCTTGTGCAGTGAGTAACCTACACAACCGTACAGGCAGCCCTGGGGCTTCTCCCTTGTTGAGTCTCAGCTGCCGCCCATGGGAGATGAGGACACTGAGTGTGAGAACATATGCAGCACCCACACCGCGAGGCTCCAGAAGGCCTTGTTCTCAGCATCCGAATTACAAATTGTGAGGAAATTGCTGTTTTATTGCTTCCAAATGCATAGCTTGATTAGAACTAATTGCACAAAACTGCCAAACAGCCGTCCTTAGGCGCTCTGCTCTGACAATAGATAAAGAAGGATTTGAATTAGCAGATCAGTTACCAGACATGTCAATATGCTCATCGTGTTTGGAAGCAGCTTGTCCTCCTGAGGAGTATACATATCTCCCCTGTAAACTTTGTTTATATTATTAGTGTGCCCAGCATTTTTTTTTTCTTTTTTCATATTCCAAATCCCAACACACTGAGCTGGCATCCATGAGGTTTTACTCGCTTGGCTTTGGAATGCTGTCTGACACTGAGCCCACATTGTCACCAGCGGGCTCTCCCGCTGGCCGCCCTTGCCAGGGAGACCCGGGACTGACTCATCAACCTGCGGAGGAAAGGGGAGCAGGACACCAGTTTGTTGAATGGCCCAGGCAGCTGAGCACCTAGAGAGAGAGGGTTATGAAGATTACAAGACAGAGCCCCTTCATAGCCCTATTTGCACCATTGTAATTATTTTCTTAATCATTTCTTGTCAGCATTTGTCTGCCTCACCAAACTCTAATCTCCAAAAGTCCAGGCATGTGTATGATGGGCTGCTGCTGCTGCTGTTTTGGTTGTTGTTTTGTTTTTTGCCTGATGTGATAAATGCTCACCATCTCTCTGGTTGATATATCATGGGGGAAGTGCTATGACAAGAGACAGACAGAGGGCTTGGAAAGCTCAGCACCACGCCTGGAGTGTCAGGGAAGGCTTTGCAGTCAGGGCAGCAGGCAGTGTGTCCAAGCTGGGCCCACTGTTTTCTAGGGGGCCGAGAAGATAAAGGTATGTGTGCACTGCTGAGACATTTGAAGCATGGAAGAGCATGACATGTTTGAGAGAACTGGAAATTAGGGAGGACCGGCAGGAGGGATAGCTGGAGAGATGGACATCAACCATTTTATGGAGGATTTGGAATCCCACACTTAGGAATTCAGCTTTGGTCCTGTGGTCAACAGGAAGCCAGACAAGGTTTTGGAACAAGAGTGGACTAGTCAGAGGCATTATCTACCCCAGCGTGGATCCCAGAGCCAGGGCGAGGGCCCTGCCCAGCACCCCAGTAACCCAGACCTGCTCTACTATTTTTGCCCAGATGCAGTACCCAGGCCTACGGTACAAGTGTTCATTGCTGTATCTCAGCCCCCCAAGACCTGCCAGGCTTTCCTGTCCTGTTGGGTCCCCAACATCAGTGACATAACCTATGGCTGGCGACAGGAGGGGACCATGGACTTTGGTATCAAGGCACATGGCCTCTTCACAGATGGACAGGTGTTGAGGGTTTCGCTGGGACCAGAAGACAAGGGCATGGCCTTTTCCTGCATTGTCTCCAACCCCGTCAGCTGGAATTCGACTATAGTCACCCCCTGGGAGAGCTGCCATCATGAGGCAGGTATGCCACGGGCCAAGGGTCAATGTGGGGTAGTGAAGCATCAAGTCCACTTCTGACCCTGCCCCCTCCATGTCCTGCCCCAGGGAAGGCCTCCTACAAGGATGTGCTGCTGGTGGTGGTGCCGGTCTTGCTGCTTCTGATCCTGGCCGGTCTCTCTGCCTGGTACTGGGGCCCCTGCTCAGGTGGGAGTTCTGCACGTGCCTGAGGTGGGTGGGGAGCTAAATCTACTGGAAAGATGGGCAGATTTGGACCTCTTCCTATTTGTCTTCAGATTGTCTTCCCTCTATACCTCTCCCACCTCTTATCTTGGCCCTCTTCCATCTTGCATTCTGGCCTCCAATAAGAATTGAAGTTCTTTTGTAGCTCTTCAAGTGAGCTATTCTCTTACATACATCTTCAGGCCTTTGCACATTCCATTTTCCCTGTCTGGAACACACTTTCCATGATTTCCCACTCAACTCCTTCATTGGATTATCTCCTATAAGATCTATATTTTATCTATGTCAAAGAGGGGGAGGAGAGAGAGATAGAAACATCAATGATGAGAGAGAATCATTGATTGGCTGCCCCTGCACGCCCCACAACAGGGATTAATCCCACAACCTGGGCACATGCCCTGACTGGGAATTGAACTGTGACCTTCTGGTTCATAGGTCGATGCTCAACATTGAGCCACACTGGCTGGCTAATGTTCTGCCTTTAACGCCCATCACTTACCCCACTCACAGAACTGATTGCACTTACTCTCCCACTAAATTCTTAACCCTTTAAAGGCAAATGCTGGGTCACCACTGGGCATCTAGCAATAGTTTCTGTTACATAGCTGTATCAATAAAGTTTGTTGAGTAAAAGTTTAGTCGAATCCCAACCCCTTGTTGCCTAGAAAATATTCTCTGAGCAAAGTTCTCTCTGCCTGGGAGCTGATCATGCCTCTTTGTCAAGGAGAAGAAAGGGGAAACTCAGTGGTCAGCCAGGTTCTGAGCTCTACACCCATCAGCCCTGCCTTTGCCCCGAATGCCCTGCCCCTGAAAGGAGCACCTCCAGTGGCCTGGGCTTCCTGGTTTTGTGCATCGCAGGCTGTGTGGCTTGCTGGCCCAAGATGGAGAGAGCGGGTCAGCAAGGAGAAGGAGGCATGAGACCTGAGTCGCTCAACATAGAAATGGAGCAGAGGACTGGCTCTTGTATGTTCATTCCCTGGGGATGGGGGGAAAGCAGCTGAGGTCACACTCCATCCAGGGGCCCTGTCTGTCCCAGGCGGTCCCCGGGATTTATGTAGAAGCCTGGAAAGAGCAGCTTTTTGTTTTAACAGCTTTATTGAAATATAATTCACATGCCATACAATTCACCCATTTAAACTGCATACAGCCCTGGCCGGCTTGGCTCAGTGGATAGAGCGTCGGCCTGCAGACCGATGGGTCCCGGGTTCGATTCCGGCCAAGGGCACATGCCTGGGTTGTGGGCTCGATCCCCAGTAGGGGGTGTGCAGGAGGCAGCCGATCAATGATTCTCTCTCATCATTGATGTTTCTATCTCTCTCTCCTTCTCCCTTCCTCTTTGAAATCAATAAAGAAATATATTTTTAAAAAATAAAGTGCATACAATTCAGTGGCTTTTATTGTATTCACAGAGTTGTGTATCCATCACCACAATCAATTTTAGAACATTTTCATTACCCCAAAAAGAACCCCCAAACCCCTTGGCCATCCCTCCCTAATCAACCTTCTCTCACTCAGCTTAACGTTGTCAAGGCTCAGAAAAGAGTGGCTTTGGCCACTGAGAAGGACAGAAAGGCTCCTCACAGGGAGTCGAGAGCTGGCTCTGGCTCTGCCATGTGGCTTCTGGCCATTTAATTGGGTCCATCCCAGCTCTAACTTTCTATACTCTTTATAGCTAAATGCATGGCATAGCTGCCGAGGGAGGCTAGACAGTAGGAAGAACTACTTGTCTTTGAAGCATCTCCTTTTCCATGGTCTTGATAAAATGGGGGGCGGGGGGAGGGTTGTGGGTGTGGGGTTTTTTTGCCTGAGATGACCTTGGGCTGGGTCAAGGTTACTAAGATTCTAAACATTGGAGGGGTAACCTTCTATCTTATCTCCTTGCAGGGAGAAAGAAGAAGGAAGTCTGTGCTGATGAAGTCACTCTACAGACAGAGAACCCCCTTGTGTAGGATCTGCCCTGAGGGAGGAGATAAACTGATGTGGGATCATGAGGAACCCCACTGCCCAGGCACATGATGGTCCAGGACCTAGTTGGTGCCTGGAAACTACCATGGTTCTCGTAGCTCCTGTGAGACACCGTTGCACTCTCCAGGGGCAGCCTGGGCAGCTGTCACATTGGGAGGACAGGAAACATTGACACAACCTTCCACACTCTCTCCCTTCCCTCTGGCCGTATTGCATGCCCTGGCTTTGGTCTGGGCAAGATGGGCCTAAGAAGATATTCCCTAAAGGACACTGGACATTCTCCAGGACCCACAGGGACAGTGACTGTGCAGGTCATTCACTTCCCACCATTGCATTTGTTGAAGTCCTAAGCCCAATTTCTCAAAATATGACTATTTGGAAATAGGGCCTTTAAAGATATAGTTAAGGTTAAATGAAGTCATTGGAATAGGGCCCTAATTTACTAGTAATATGCCTGGGGTCCTTATAAGAAGAGGAGCGACACCAGAAATGCACACACAGGGAGAAACAGCCATGGGAGGACACAGAGAGATTGAAGCCAAAGAGTGAGGCCTCAGTAGACACCAACCCAACTGATACAGTGATCTTGGACTTTCGGTCTCCAGAACTGTGAGAAAATAAGTGTCTGCTGTTTAAGTCATCCAGTCAGTGGTACTTTGTTATGATAGCCCTGACAGACGGACCTGCAGCAACGGATTGCCTCCAGCCTGGGTCCCAGGCTTTAAGAGACATTAGTCCTCTGAACTAACTGTGACTCTCTGAATCACCTACTTCCAGCCCCAGTCCCAGCCCTAGCCCAAGCTCCTGCAGTTTGAGATCCTGATGACCAAGGCATTGTCATAAGAAAAGGTCTAGAAATAGGTGAAGGTGGGAGATGAAGGACAAGGGTTTCTCTTTCTGGCCTGAAAGGCTTTCAGGTCATTTGAGTTCATGACCCTCAAAGGTAATTTACAGTTATAGACCATCAAAGGGTGGTTTATATCTCATGGTTGGGATGGGTGCCATTTTATAGGTAACACCTTTTTGTAGATAGCAACTTTTTAGTAGATGACTTCACCCTCTCTGTTAACTATCATGACTCCTATAGGATCTGGAGGTGGGACTTGAGATTCTTGCCTTCAGTGACCAGAAAAAAAAGATATTAAATTTGCCCCAGCCAAAGTTTTTGCACAACTTCAAGAAAAGCAGCTCAGTTTGAGGTAAGTGTCTCTACCTGAGGCTGAGAGAGGAAAGAGCTAGGAAAAGCTAAGAAGAAGAAAAATTTTGAAGGGGACGGGAGCTGAAGCATCCTGGCATCTGGCACACTAATTTTCAAATGCAAGTGCAGAGGATCCACCCAAGTTCAAGGAGAGATGGAAAAGGCCCACAACTCAAAAGGAAGATGGTCAAGGTCACTTTTAAAGAAAAGCTTGTTGGATGAAAGCAATTATTGTGGGCATCTTTGGAAAATACTATCTGCCACTGAGTGATTCTGTCTAGAAAAGCTCTGGGGTATTGCCACTGGAAAAATACTTGATGAGCTAAACTTTGGGATTAGTAGATGATAAGGTGCACAGTTACTCCCTTCCACATATAATTGGACTTTTTTTTTCCTGAGGCCTCAGGAAAAACTCTTGATAATAGAGAGGAAGGAGGCATTGATTAAACAGGGGTAGGTTTTGAAATATTTTCCAGGATGGCTTCGATCATTCCACCCAGGATGTTAGTCGGGTCCAAGGATCTTCCCTCTTCACCTCAATTCCTGTGCAGTCACTTCACCTGAGACACCTGGTCAGTGCAACTGGCCTCCAGATTCATCTTGCCACTCCTCCATGTAACTAGTCCTGGAGTTTCCCTGCCTGTTAGCTCCGCTCAGAGGTGCCCTGCTGGTCAGCTGGCTTCACCTAGTCTTCATGCCTTCCCTGTATCCACTTCTCTCCCATCACCCCCAAGGCCACCTGAGCATGCACAGGGCTACCCAACCTGGCAGCTTATGTTGCCGGCCTCAGTTCCTAAAATTATGTGAAAGAGAAAGCCCAAGATCTAGCAAGGGGCCATGGTAGTTGTATGAAGGGAGTGCGCGCGTGTGCACACACACACACACACACACACACACACACACACACACACCACGCCCCACCTTACTTTCCTTCATCCCCAGAGTCCCATCTCAGATCAGAGCAGCTGCGGATGGTGCGGGGCCCACAGTTCTCCCTTCACAGGGTAACTCTTAGTGACCTCACTTAGACAGTGGTTTGTAGGGCGGCGCAGCAGGACCTTTTTGAACAGATCAATTCTGTTCAAATAAATTGATGTTCCCATCCCCAATGACTTACTTGTCAACGAGTGGACTAATTAACCTCCTTTGAGAAAAACTCAAAGTGCTTCTGTGAGAACAATATGTGTGTTAATGGGCATGTGGATTGATGCTTTAAAAGTCACACAAGAACAAGTATTGATTGAGGGTCAAGTGTGTGCTGGATGCCCTTCAAGACACTAGGAAATCAGCAGTGGACAAAGCAATGCCCTTCCTTTACAGAGTTTATATTCTAGATAATAAATAAGCAAGTAAGTATATGCCAGGTGTTTGTAGATTCTATTAAGAAAGATCAGCCGAGTGAAAGACTAGCGTATGCTATGTTGAGGAGAAGGGGTCCATCTTTGGATACGGCGATTAGAGAACACCTTCTGATGAGGTGATCTTGGAACAGAAACCCAATGAAGTAGAGTGAGCCATGCAGTGTCTGGGAAAAGAGCATTCCAGAGACCAGACGATGGGAAGGCCCTGAAGTGAGAGCATGGCTGGTGTTTATGAGAACTAGAATGGAGGCCAAGGCAGCTGGGTCAAAACAAGAGAGTGAGTTTTGTTTTGTTTGTTTGTTTCTTACTTTTTTGTTGTATTCCACATATGAGTGACATCATATGGCTTTTGTCCTTTTCTGTCTAACTTATTTTACTTAGCATAACACCCACAAGATCCATCCATGTTATTGCAAATGGCAATTTTTATCATTTTTTATGGCTGAGTAATATTCCATTGAATAGACACACCACCTCTTCTTTGTGCTTTTGTCTATCGATGGACACAGGTTGTTTCCATATCTTGTCTATTGTCAATAATGCTGCGATGAACATAGGAGTTTATATATATCTTTTCAAGTTAGTGTTCTCATATTTTTCAAATACCCAGAAGTGAAATTGCTGAGTCATATGATAGTTATATTCTTAAATTTTTTTAGGAACCTCCAAATTGTTTCCACAGTGGCTGCACCAATTTGCAATCCCACCAACAATGCACAGGGTTCCCTTTTCTCCACAACCTCGCCAACACTTGTTATTTCTTGTCCTATTGATAATAGCCATTCTAACAGGTGTGAGGTGGTATCCTATTGTGGTTTTGATTTACATTTTCCTAATAATTAGTGATGTTGAGCATCTTTTTACATGCCCGTTGGCCATCTGTATGTCTTCCTTGGAAAAATGTCTATTCAGATTCTCTGCCCATTTTTTTAATTGAGTTGTTTGGGTTTATTTTTTGTTGAGTTATATAAGTTTTTTATATATTTTGGATATTAACTCCTGGACATAAATATTATTTGTAAATATTTTTTCCATTCAATTGGTTGCCTTTCTGTTTAAAATGAAAATGCAATAGCCCTAACCAGTTTGGTTCAATGGATAGAGCGTCAGCCTGTGGACTGAGGGGTCCCAGGTTTGATTCCAGTCAAGGGCATGTACCTTGGTTGCAGGCACATCCCCAGTGGGAAGTGTGCAGGAGGCAGTTGATTGATGTTTCTAACTCTCTATCCCTCTTTCTTCCTCTCTGTAAAAAATCAATAAAATATATTTTAAAAAAATGAAAATGTAACAAACAAAACAACACAAAAACAAACTCATGGATACAGACCACAGAGTGGTGGTTACGAGAAGGGAAGGGGGGAAGGGAAGGGTGAAATGGGTAAAGGTGAAGAATTATAACATTGTACACCTGAAGTTATTTAATGTTATTAGCCAACTAGAGGCCAGATGCATGAAATTCATGCAAGGGGCTCGGCCCTCGCAGCCCTGGCTTCATCCAGAAGGTCGTCCAGAAGGTCATTTGGCTGTCCAGTCTAATTAGCGTATTACGCTTTTATTATTATAGATGTTACCTCAATTAAAATAAATAAATTAAAAAACAGCCTCAACCGGTTTGGCTCAGTGTATAGAGCGTCGGCCTGCCGACTGAAAGGTCCCAGCTTCAATTCCGGTCAAGGGCATGTACCTTGGTTGCGGGCACATCCCCAGTAGGAGGGGTGTAGGAGGCAGCTGATCGATGTTTCTCTCTCATTGATGTTTCTAATTCTCTATCCCTCTACCTTCCAGTCTATAAAAAAAAATCAATAAAATATATTTTAAAAAAAACAGCAAGGGGCTAAGAGTGGAAGGGGAGTATCAGAGTAATGGTGTTGGGTCACAGCACATGGGACCTTGCAGTCTTCAGAATTCCCCTTCCCTAGGGTGAGCATGGCCAGGAGAGCCCTATGGCAACCTTTGTACTATTATTTCCAGTAGGCTCAAACCAGTCCTCTACAAATCTGTTTTTGTTTTTACTTGTTTTTGTTATATTTTCCTTGAGCAAGACCCTCTGTATCTGTCCTTCTGTGCAAAGGACAAATACAAGAGCTGCTGGGGCAAAGGTGTCATGTGACATGATGTCAGAGAGAATGGAGAGATGGTTAGAGAAAAGGAAAGGGTTAGAGAGACATTATTTTAATCAATGGAGACAGGAGCACCCAGTGCCTTGTTTAAAAACAATGGCTGCAAACATTCATGACATCTCGCAGATCTTCCTTCCACCATTATTAGAAGTAGCACCTGTTCGGTTCATCAGCACTTGGTAACTTACTGGTCTGCAGAGAAACACCATCTCTCTCCAGCTCTGACTCAGTGGCTCCCTGCATCTGTTCTGCATGCAGCCTGAAAGAGGGCCTCTAACACAGCACATCCCCAGATCTGGCACAGTCTCAGCCGGTGCCTCCCCTCGGATTGTGCACGGCTCACGTGGGTCCCATCTGCCAGGAGGGCCAGACCGAGCACATGAGTGAGTAGTGGGGACACTCCCACTGCACAACTGGCCGTCCAGTTCTGGAAGGCACACTTCACTTCGAGGGAGACACTGGAAAACTTCAATGTCCAGAAGAGAATGACCAAGGTGGTGAAGAGTCTAGAAACCTTATCATTCGAGAAATGATTAAAGAAACCGGTCATGTTTCACCTTGAACAAACAGCTTAGACGGCCACAAGTCCCCAGATAGTCGACAGGCTCTCCTGCAAGTCAGGTTGTGTGGCTGAAGCCAGTGGAACGTGACACTGAAAGGCAGATATTGACTCATGAATAATAGTCTTAAAGCTGGAAGGAGACTTTGTGGTTACTCACTTCATTTTTCATTTCTCAGTGGAAAACTGAAGTCCAAATAGAGTGTTACTCCCTAGGGTTACATAATTAGTCGGTGGCAGAGTCAGAATTAACTTTCTAAATCAGTCCAACCCCTTACCAGGGAAGGACTTACTAACAAATGTAGAAATCCAAATAGGAAGTGAGCTGTTTCAATGAATGTGCTTAAGCAGAAATCACCTCAGAATAATGCTATGTAGACTACAGACATTTCACAAGTTAGGTGGGAAGTTGTATCCAATAAAGAACCTGCCTTCAAAGGCCATGTTGAACATAGATAGTTAATTGTGGCACACTCTTCCCACTGAGTCCACATGCAGTACATCAAGTAACCCCAACAATTCATTGAAGTGGGGAGCCAAGATGAAACCAATTTTCCATTCCTGCCCTAGACACCCCACCAGATCCTTCTGACATTGAGAATGAATTATAAATTAAAGAATGAATGCATAGACAGTGGAACAAAAGAGGCCAATGAAGGGATCTGGCCCAGGTGTCAGACACAATCTGTGCTTCCTATAAAGTAGAGTTATTCTAGCTCCCTTTGTTCTGCCATTCTCCTCAGTATATCACTCAGGAAATAGATCAGAACTGGATACACAGGAGAGATTGATGGGGAGTAGTAGTACGAAAGCACAATAGCATAAAAGCAGTCAAATAAATGAATACGATCACAGGGCCATTTAAGAAATCATGTTCTTTAAACATTTCAGAATAACGGGACAACACTTGCATCAGAGTTCTTCAGATGCAAGCAAAGAAGACAACTCTGGTTTTAACTAAAGCAAAAGAAGGAATTATTAGAAAGGTGAGGGTAGAGAAGTGTCTTGGTCAGTTTAGGCTGCTGTAAGAGAATACCATAGTCTAGGAGGCTTATAATCAACAGATATTTATTTCTCCCAGTTCTAGAAGCTGGAAGTCCAAGATCAAGGACCAGCAGATTTAGTGTCTGCTGAGAGCCCACTTTTTGGTTCATAGAGAGCCATCTTCTTGCTGTGTCCTCACACGGTACAGGGGGTGAGGGAAGGCTCCTGGGTTTCTCTTCTATGGGCACTAATCCCACTCATGAAGGCTTCACCCTCAAGACCTAACCCCCCTCCCCCAAAGAGCTCACCTTCAAACACCATCATACTGGGGAGTAGGTTTCAGCATATACATTTTGGGAGCACACAAAAATTCAGCCTATAGCACTCAGAGACCAAAGAAAACTCTGACCAACCAGGCCTCAGAAAGGACACGCCAGGTGGCCTCAGGGATGCAGGCCTCAGGACAACCTCCTCAAGGGCCCCCATGGAATATTTTCTGTTCCCGTGTTGCTCACTGAAGATTAAAATTCCCAACAAACAGATTGAGCTTGACTGGCCTAGCTGGGGTCAAGAGTTCCCCCCTTAGGGGCATAGGGAGGAGTTGCAAGATAGCTTATCACAAGTGGCAGTTGGTCTAACAAAATAAAATACAAAAATAAGTTTGAGCAGGAATCTGTAGAGCAGGAAATGCATGTGTCTGTTCATTCAGGGAGCATTTACTCATCACCTACTGGCCCCCAGTACCAACTTGGGTACAGAGATGTCTAAATAGTGGCATCACCATCCCTGCCCTCAAAGAGGTTACATGCTAATGGAGAAGTGTGTCAATAAGTGATTCCAAGGAGTAAACCATGTCACAGCCCCCGGCCTGTGCTCGGAGCTGTCTCCTGACCTGTGAGACCTCCGGCCCTAAGGAGCACCAGCAGGTCCATGGGGAAGTGGTGACAGGGACAGAGGCGCTGGCTGGGAGTATAGCTTCAGTTGGTAGGAAGTGAAGAAGGTGTGGCATGGTAGTTCCCTGGGGACATCTTCCCATCAGGGGCTTCTTTGTTGACTGAGTTCCCAAAATACCAAGACATCCCAGGCAGGTAGGTTGTCTTCAGAGTTCCCTCTAGGTGGCAGTAAAGAGGGGCAGCAGTCTGCTCAAGGTGGGGCTGGCACCACCCTCGTGGATGCCTGGAGTGAGATTTTTGAAATGCTCAATCCTGTCCTCTGGCCCAGCCTCTTGGCCTCAGGACTGCACCCCTCCCTGGGGCTGTTCAGACCCTCAGGAGTCTTCCAAACTCTTGTTCAGAAATACACTGGGATCCCTCTTGCCCAAACCTGATTAATAACCTTCCGGCTCAACTCTCCCAGAAAATCCCTAACAGTTCCCACTCACACTGGGGGCTGTGAACTCCTCCTGAGCATGGAGTCCAGAGCCCAGAGCCCCATGCATGGTGGTGGCTCAGTATGAGTGTTGGGGTCCAGCCCCAGCAGGTCCAGGGGTTCCCAAAGGTGTGGACGGAGTCGGCGAAGAAGGAATGCCACGGAGGCAGCGTTCAGTTGATCAGCAGCCTAGCCAGGTTCTCTAGCCAGGATCTCTAGCCAAGTTCGTCCAGGATCTCCAGCAAGTTCTGTTTTATTGTCTTGTTACATCTGTATTTATACCAGTTGATCTTAATCCTATCAATTTCTATTCCAAAGGTTAGGGCGTTTCTTATCTCCATTCCAGGGAGTAAAGATTATGTAGCTTAAGGGTGAGTGTTCATAGTTAAAGTGATTAACTACCCTCCTGGCACTTAGTTAAGGGGTTTTATCCCCTCCCTAACTTCAGGGAAAAATCCCTACCTGGGGAAACAACCTTTCTCAGAGAGGTGACCTTGGTTAAAACACATAGCGCCAAGAAGGGGAGCAAACATATTAAGAACAGTATGCCATATACGCCAGGTCCCTTGGA